GTAATGGAAATACCAAATTATTGACATTATGATAAAAGTTTTTTCCCCTCTAATTTGCATCGAAGTAAAAAAGCAGACCATTCACTCAACTCTTCTTTCAAGTTCACGATTCACATTGTTGTATTTTTTAGCTCTGTTATTTCACGAGATTATTTAGTGCTGCCTTTTTTTTTATCAGTATGTTTTGTGGATAAATTAAGAATATTTTAAATTTCAGGCTTTTTTTAAATATGTTTACAGATAAGAAATGCACACATGATTTTACTGCTTGCAATGTTGAAAAACGTAAACATGTTGCATTGAGGGTAATGCAAAAAGTGCAAATTCTGCAAAAGATGGAGACAGGTGCTACTCCTCATTTTATAGAAGAATCGTATGGAATTGCGATATGATTGTGTATGATATACAGAAAAATAAAGAAAAGCTGCTGAAACTTTACAGCAACAGTGATTCTAACACCGGAATCCAAATCAGTGAAAAACTTTGCATGAGGCGAAATCAGGCAAACCTCGGATGCTATGTACATATAATTCAATGAATAATATAATCAATTTATATATGGAATATAATTTAATGCATATATAAGTTATTGCAATAATGTATATAATTTAATTAAATGTATCTAATACGCCTTATTTATTTTGCACTTTTAGTCTGAATATTATGATTTATCTTTTCTGTTCTGAAATTCGCAAAATCCTAAAATCCACACAACCTCTGGTCCCAAGCTTTGCGGATTTCTGGACTTCTACTGTATTTGCAAAGTTATTAATCCAATTGAGTTTGCATGAAAGGTAATGTCAAAATTCTCAAAAGAACAGCATTTAGGGAAATTTGTACTACTGAGTGTGATTTGAAAAGTATATTTATTTATTTCTCTCATTTTGAAAGTAATTTCACTGGCAGATAACAGTTTTTTTAAAAATAATATTCTTCAATGCATTTTAATAAAAAAAGTTCTTCAAAAAAACTGGTCTCTCTGTATTATGTTTTCCCCTTGCACTGACATTATTTCCTTCGAACATAATTATATTATAAAAAAATAAAAGTTTTACATTCAATAAATCTTGAATAACTAATTCTTAAGGTACATTTCAGTCAGTTATTCATATGCAGACATTACAGATTTAATGCAAAAATTCAAAAACAGTAAAACTCAGAAAGATATGACCTTAATCTGCAATATTAACTAATCTTCACAACCTTTGATCTTGAGGTGCACAGATTATTAGAATTCCACAGTACAAAATATTTCCAAATGGTTCATTTCAGTCTCAATATTCAAGACAGTAGTTTAATTTTACAATTGTTAAAATGTTTTATATAGTGAAACTTCTTACAGCAACTACTTGCCTAAGAAGACATCCTCTGAAACTGACCAATGAATACATTAACATCACAACCATTAACATCACTGACAGTTATGCTTTCAAAGATAATTACACCGCTTGACAACTGCTCAGGAATAACCAATTTATATAATTTTTCATTCCCTATAGTTGTGCAGTTACAGAAAAAATAAATGGAGAGGGCTTTGTAGGGAAGACTTCCTATGCTTATACAAGGATGTGCACTCATTTTGGTTCTTCCTTCATAATTGCAAACAGTAATGCTTGGAAAAAACAAATGTTGGCATTTTTTGAAAACATTATGGTAAATGTTCCCTTCTGATGGCAGGTACTGAGTGTGGGATGTTCGGAAGAATCATTTGAGTATGTGCAATTAAGATCAAGCAGTTAGATGTCTCGAAGTTGGAAAAAATGTCACTTTGGTTGCCTCAGCCATGTCAAAGATTGTTGCAGCTACAGAAGGCTTTGAAGGTGGAAATGAAGTGTGAAAGCATGCTCATGGATGAACATACCTCAAGAGAAAAGATATGTTGCTTCAGTAGTGAAAAGAAACAGAAATGCTGCTCCTGGACGGATAGCCACAGATCTTGCCAATGCCACAAGTATTCACATATCTGCAAGAACCATTTCTCGGTGAATAAAAAAGGTTTCACAAAAGCCTACTGCATGCCCACCTGCATTGAAAAGATACGTTGGTGTAACGAGCATATTCATTGGGCTCAGAATGGTCCAGTGTCATGTTCTCTGATGAATCCAGCTTCACCATCAACAGTGATTCTGGACACCAGTTATGGTGAACAGAAGCACATTATCATTTCCAGAATGCAGAAGAAACTGATCACAGTGGTCAAGGAGTGATTGTGTGGCTAAGTACCATGCAGAACAGCAAATCTCCTTTTCATATCTTCTCTTTTTAATCTTCTTTGATGGATGCACAGTAACATTAGATTGGTGTAATGTACCAAAATTCTCCATTATGTCTACCTTTCCCACAGTGCGGTTGGTTCAAACTATGTGTTTATAGATGATAATAGCAGCCTATACAGAACATCTGAAATGTCCACACTATCAGCAGAAGATACTAAGCACATGATAGGGCTTTCACATTCACATCCCATAGAGTCTGCCTGGGATGCATTGGGCAGGCATACTGCCTAAAGGACTGACCCTCCTCAATTTATTTAGAAACTCAAAATCACCTTGAGTGACCAGTGGGACAGCTTTCATCAACAGTTTAGTGTAACATGTGTAACAGAGGAAAAATATGCATCAGTTAAGATGTCATACTCCATTCTTATGGACTTATACCTGGTAACTCTTGAAAACAGCTGTAAGGAATATATCTTTCTTTCTTTTTTTTTTCTTTTTCTTTTTTTTAAATCTTGTTTTGCCATGTGGCAGTATCAGTACCATTTTGCATAATAAAAAAACTCCAGGACATCCGTTAAATATATGTTAGGTTTTATTTCTAACAATGCCCATTAGTAGATATGATGAAAAATGACTCAGTTCCTTAGCAACCATCCAGGAGTATTTCTGAGAACATACAGAGGATGTTTACACATTTTTAGAACGATTTTGGAAAATAATTAAAAAATAAAAGCAAATGTTTTAGAATAAAAATGTCTGGCAACAACTTATTATTTAAGATGAGAAATTTCATCTGCTACATTTAAATTTATTCTTCTTTCAAAATGTTGCATTTAAACAAACTATGGACAGAGAGAAATATTTTTATGCTTTCCAAAAAGAAATATTCCCATTCCATAATTCTAAAACATCATGAATTGCAGGGTATTGCAATTTCTAACTGTAAAATAAGCAACATTATTAGTCAAAAAAAAAAAAAAAAAAAAAAAATCATCATTCAATACTTCTACATGGAAAGAAGACTCCAAACAATACCTGAAAGTGGTATGCATTTTTATAATGCTTCTAAAGTTAAATTGTTGATAAGAACAGAAAATCCTCGACAGAAAAATCAGCTGTAAAGTCTTTAAATATATCTGCAGCAACAATAAATAAAGATTTACAACTTAGAAAACATAATGTTCACCAACTTTTGCTGACGCAAGTGGCTCAATGCAGAACAACTTTAGAACAATGTATAGACACTACTTATCAGGAGATAACTGGAAATACTTGTGACTCTTGATGATGCATGAGTTTACCTAAATGAATGCAATGGAATAAAGGTCTACTTATTACCAAAAACAAAGAGAAAAAAATGTACAATCTGTTTTCATCAATGAAAAGAAAGTTTTAGTAAGGGGCTTATGATTGCTGCAGGATTCTCTTGCAAAGGAAAATTAAAAATAAAAGAGTGGGAAAAAATGTCAAAATAAACTTAATGTACTATCAAAAGAAAGTTTTACATCCAATATTTACAACAGAAATTACATTTCTTTATTCCAGTGACCTTCAAAGAAAGAAACTTCACCAAGACAAAGCAACAAGTTATATTTAAAAAAGTAGCATTGCACTCCTTAAAAAAATGAAGACTGATACAGGTATCGCATACATACATTTTCAACATATTCTTGCGAAGTCCTTTGACGTTTCACCTATGGACTATTGTGCTTTTGGTCTCTCAAAAAGAGTTCTTTCTAAGTGCAAATGTACCTATGACTGATGGACTCCAGACATTAGTGGAAGAGGAATGGAAATCAATATCCCTGGAAATTTTATGAATCATGATGTACACTTATAGTCCAGAAAGAAAGCTATCAGACTATTTAAAAAGGTACTCATTTCATTTAAAAAATTAATTAAATGGCCCTGAAATTGTACTAAAAATGTGTAAAGACCCTATAAGGTATTTCTCCCACTTTCCTAGCATGCCTCCATGGTGTAGTGGTTCTGCACGCTGGGCCGGTATTCCAGAGGTCCGTGGTTCGATTCCCGGCGAAGGCGGTTGCTGATTTTTCATCTTGCCTGCTTTCAAAAATACTTAATGTCTCTACAACCCTTTGAAATTTAATAACAGTACTGACAATCACCGACAGCTATGCTCTCTAAGGCAACCCCCCCCTCCCCAAAAGAATTCCTATAACTGGCCATCAAGAAACTTGTTCTAATTTGATGCATATGATTTTCCCAACAAATATTATTTTTTTCTGATTGATATTATTGTGTACATTACAAATTTATTCAAGAAGAGCACAGAAAGAGAAATTGATAGAAAGAATTCCACCCCACAGCTTACCTTTCTACATACAATTTATACTATGATTGCCTCATTTATTTTGATAATTTTACTTTAAAAGGAAAATCAAGTATGCATTTTTTTAACAGCATGCTAACAGCCCGCTCATAGCATCATGCTATCAGCCAGCTCACAGCATTTTAAAATAAAGCAATCTATATTTTTTACAAGAAAAAACTTATTACATGTATGATGGTATTACTAATTGATAGTAAAAGAAGGAACAAACAAGTTTCTCAGATTTAAGTTCAGAAGTAACAAAAGATTCAAAAGTCCTGTCAATTAAGAGATTAATTCAAAACGAACATGATTCTAGTTATTTGTATTTTTATGTAAGAATATTCTCACTTATTAATAATCAAAATTAACAAGAAATAAAATATGAAACAGAGATATTTAATACTGTAAAAATGCAAGCTGTGAAAAATTACAACTTTTAAACATACTTGGAGAATTTTTCATACTCTCTAAAGTCCTTTCCTTTGCTTCATTTAAAATATCATGAAGAAAAACAACACTTCCTTTGCGAGTGCTGAATTTCAAAATGCGACCAAATGGAATATGATGAATGTTACTGTAAAAAAGAGAATTAATTCTATCTTTGGTAAAGTATTGCATATATACTTTAGTTTTAAGAACATTACATTCCTATAAACTTGAGAAAGAGGGGGGAGGGAAAAAGAAATATCTTAAAAAAAATCCTTGCCTAAAAATTTTAAATGTATAAAAGTAGAAAGGAGGATTAGCAAATATTCTTACAGTTTACTCAATTAAACATAGCACTTAGAAGAGAAAGGCTAACATATTGAGCTTCCCCCCCCCAACACAAGTGAGAAGTGAAGACGTAGTCATGCTGACACTGCATGTGATGCTGTGTGCATTTTGCACTGAACATGTATACTTACTCATTAATTTAAAAATAATAGATAAAATGCACTACATTTTAAACATAAAGTTTTGCTTTTTTAAAACTTTCATTTTTTTTTAATGTGCATTTATTTATAATCATTTCTTCATTTGTATACCAACTGGGAGAATTCTATGACTGCTTCTAATATAACAATAATAACAGCTTTTTAATGTTAGGTAAAAAGCACCCTATTGGCTTAGTTTTGAACATATATGGCATTTTGTTTCCTAAAGAGCTTATGTTTGGTTGCTCATAAAATCGAGAGCTTTATTCAACATTTCTGCTAATGTAAAGTTGATTTTTTCCCTAATTATAAATTTTACATTGGGTTGTTTCTCTTCTAATGAAAAATAATGACAGATATTTTCGAAATAATTTTCCAACTTATACCCACACCTGTATCACATTTAAATACGAGGCGCATTCAGAAACTAAGTACCGTTTTGAAAAAAAAAAATAAATAAATAAATAAATAAAAATTAAAAAATAAGTAAAACAATTTTTTTGAATAAAATTTTATTTTTACATGAAAATACATGTCTTAAACTATTTTTCAACATAGTTTCCGCCAATGATCAAACACTTGCCATAGTGGGTGACCAGTTTTTGTATACCATCGTCAAAGAAACTTCCCGCCAGTTTCGATAACCACGACTCCACAGCATTTTTCGTGTCATTGTCAGATCCAAAGCGCTTGCCACCAAGCTCACAAATGACACACCCAAGTTTCATCACCTGTCACAATTTGGTTTAAAAAGTTTTCTCCCTCATCACTGAACCGTGTGAGAAATGTCAGGACACTACCAAGTCGCTTTGTTTTGTGAACATCAGTGAGCATTTTTGGAACCCATCGGGAACACAGTTTGCGATAATTCAAGCGGTCAGACACAATTTCGAACAAAACAGTACGTGAAATTTGTAGAAATGCCTCTGAAAGAGTTGTCATTGTGAAGCATCTGTTCTCATGAATTGCTTCATCAACTTTCCTTAGCAAATCATCGGTGACAACAGAAGGCTGACCACTCCAAGCCTCGGCGTGGACATTTGTTCGACCTGCATTAACCCGCGGGAAAGCGCATGGGGTGTATCATACCCCAACCCTACATGAAAGTGGAATATTCCTAACTTGTGAAACTGAAATTCTTTACTGCTTTCAGTAGCTGAGTTTCTAGTTATGGTTGACTTTCAGAACCGCTTTTTCTTTGCCTGTGTGTTTCAGAAAAAGATTTATCGGTATTTTGTTGGAACTGGGGTATGACACACCCCACGCGCCTGTCCGCATAAGTGTTTTTCTGACTGAATATTTAGTTCAGAAATTTATTTCTAGAGTGTAACAGTAAATATTTCTACTCGCAAATGATTTTTAAAGTACTTGACATTAAATTCTTAAAAATTTCTAACTGCATTATGGTAAAAAGACTGACTCCCTATGAACTGGAGATGCAACGCCTGTGAGATTTATTAGAAATATTTGAAAGGGATGAAGATTGCATTTCGGAAACTGAAGATGAAACTAGGAATATTTTCTACACTGTTTTGGTTTTGAAAAAGATAAACATTAATTTCTGATGTTCCTAAAAAAGGAAAAACTGTTCTTATGTTTTCAAGATTATATAACGATCATACTCTAGATGATACTATTGGAGAAAATAAAACGTCAGGAATTATATGTTTTTATAATATGACTAAAGGAGCAGTAGATATGGGGGATGAAATGTCAGCCGCTTATTCAATTGCCAGAATGACAAGGAGGTGGCCAATGGTAATTTTCTTTCCTGCACTGAATGTTGCTGTAATAAATGCTTGAATTATATTACGTTCAACTGCTAATCCACCAACCAGAAACAAGTATGTTTTTGAAGGACTTAGCATTACAATTAATGAAAAAAAAGTATTGAACAAAGATCAGAGATTAATACTTTACCAAAAAAACTGACGTACTACATGCAAAACAAAAGCAGAAGTTTCAACGAAGAATTGAAACGAACACATGAAATTCGAAAGTATGAAAGATGTGATAAATTTTTTGCCCTCGCGCCAAGGATAGAAGAACGTGAATGCAATATTTAAAATGTGAAAACATTCTGTGCCAAGAAAACATGAATGTATTTCGTTCAAAGTGTGAAGAAATAAAATAAACATTGTGTATTAGAGACGCAATGAAACTTAGAGGCATGATGTTTATTTTTTATTATTTTCATTTATCATAATTTTAACTCTAAGATTATTTTGGAAGTTAATTTTTTGAAACCCAATTATTATTCACGTATTTGTAATATACGAGAACAAGAAAAACAACTTCAAAACTAAATAAAACTGTTTTTATCGTATTTTAAATATTGGGGTATGTGATACCCCACGCGCCCACTCTAGTAACTTTTCTTGGTGCGACTTATGCCGGGTTAAACATTCTTACCCACTTTCTCACCATTCCATCACTTATCGCGTATTCACTGTAAACTTCTGTCACTTGACGATAAATTTCGGCTGATTTAACATTCCTCGCGTTCAAAAATTTAATCACGGCATTAATCTCACAGTCAGCGGGAGAACTAATTGTCTTACACTTTTTCAATGTGCACAGCAAACTGAAAACACAACATAGAGCAACCAAAATGGCGACAATTGAAAGTCAGTGAACAAGAAAGACTAGTGCACATGCGCGGGACGCCTACCACAGCGCTAGAATGAAACGGTACTTAGTTTCCGAATACGCTACGTAAATACAGTATTGTCTTCAATTTGAAAAAATAGCTTTACTCACAGCATCTAGAGAGGATACTTAATTTTTTAAAAGGGCAGAGGTTAAGGAGATTTCAAAATTGGGAAAACATGAAATACAATATTCCTTTCTTTCTCATTTCCATGAGTGTTTGGGACTTTGTTGTAATGTAAAAAAACATATTACATAAATGGTGTTTTACAAAACAGAATTTAAAAGGAAAATTTACAAAAACAATGTATTCAAATTTTTTTAAAAATATTTACATTCGTAAAAAACAAATACATATGACTAAAATTAATGTGGAATGTCTACATGACTAGAATATCATTTCATAGCAGAAGGGAACTACAGTTTTAAATTCATGAAATCAGAATTGATGCATGACAATGATGTCAGACTATTTTTCGCTAAATCCCCCTATGAGGATCATGTCGGCAAGGAGTCACTCAAAAGAATGACCTAGCCTTTCTCTCTAACCCTGATTAAATAAATCTTTTTTTTAAACCTGTAGCTTATTATGTGATTAAGAAGTTGCTTATCTGCAGTTTTGATGCTTTATTAAATCATTAACGTTTGTAAAAATATGTAACACAAAGTAAGTGTGCATAAAAAGTACTTTTTAAGCAAAGATTTGAAATCTGATGAGATTATCATATCAATTTCAAAGTTTATATTATTTCTCTATTTATAACTGTTTTTCTAATAACATACAGTTGACTGGTTAAATGGATTAAACCTTTGCGGCACAATGGGTCCGGTCTGGACACACCTAAATATTTCCTTCTGTACGCACATAAATTTGAATGAAAAGGGATTTATAGGTTACTGCAGGTTATTATGAAGCTTCTTTATTTATAGTAGATGGCAGCTCAACATAAGACAGTCCCTATATTTTAGCCATGTTTAGTTTTTTAAGACTCTCATTTTTCAAAGAAATATTCCAAATTTTTTTTAGAGTATAAAAGGAATCGTTTGAAAAGAAATTGCTATGTTATTTTTTGGCTGTATGCTAATCTTCTTATTCTATATTAGTTTTAAATTTTTACCTTGAAATCTTGCCTAAAATCAAAAGGGTGAACCCTAGATGTGCCCAAACCAGGCTCACTGATAATCTAAGACAACTGACAGAGTGTATTCTTTGTTTCTCCGCATCTCATCGGTCAGTTCATTGACAACAATGCTCGTTTCAGCACTCTTTTCGAAGCTCTGTTCAATCAGTGTGCCACTTTGCGCACACCCACAGAATTAAAACGATAAGTGCTATCTTCACAAAATTTTACTTGTGTACTCCTTTAGGCCTAATTAGACTGCCTACCTCTTTTTTTTTTTTTTTAATCAAAACTCCGACTTTAAAAGGTAGTGTGCTGGAAAGGGTTAAACGATATGTTTACAGCACATGAACACTATTTGTCTATGGAGAAGTTCATATTTTCAATATACATAAGAGAAAAATCACATAATCACGCAGTTAGTACATTTGCCAAGAATCAAAAATCAAATGTGGAATACAATCAAAAGTCTTTAATCTGGACTCGTCGGGACTTCGGCGATTCTGGATTATCGAATTTTCATGATTATAGATCATCATTTTAAATCTGGTAAGATGGCATGCAGAAATTATAAAATTAAAAATATGAAACCGTAATTTATAAAATAATGAGCAATTATGATCTAAAGGGTATCAAATTTACAAAAAAAGAAGCTTAATAATTTATTTGTTTACTTTATTAAACATTTCATTCAACGCGTGCATGCGTAAAGCATACATTACGCATAGCCGAAATTAGAAAATTGCAACCAGAAAACTATTTGATTTGTATTCGTGATATTTATAATGACGAGGAATTTGTTTTAAATCATATCAAAGACGGAGTACATCGAGATGAAATACTACATTTAGTAAGGAATTATAAGCCAAATAAAATAAAAACATCTGCCCTGAAGATAACGATAGTGCTGACAGATCAACTTCCAGTTAATTGCCCCCCCCTTACATTTTATAATTTATTCCCTTACATTTTATAATAACTCAGTTATAAGTTTTAAATAATACTTTAAAAAAATCCTTATTTTATTCTCTTTCAGAAATGTTCAGAGAAAGTTAAGTACTATTTAAAGTATTTTGCTAATTTCTAATAATTCTCTAATTTAAAATGAACCAAATAGAGCATTAATTACAAAATGACTTATATTTTTCGATTTAAAAGATGCCTCAGAAGCCAAAAAATCATGTCATATTTAAAAAAGTATTTTAGGAAGAAGCTCTATAAATAGAAAAGAAATAATGCATAATTTTTTTAATATTAATATACAATAAACTTTGATCTCAATTTTTGTACCTTAACCGAATAAAATCGAATTACCTTAAATTTTTTTTCTAATGTAATTAACGAAAACTTGTGAAAATATTTCATTCAAACTAAAACATTCTGCGAAAAGTATAGCATTTAATTCCATTCTGAATGAAATGTTGTTTAAAAATACGTTGTTTTCATATACTTAGGACTCTGAAGTGTTGTAGAAAAAGAAAATATATACATATATATGTATATTTATGACGTAATTACAAAATATTTACATCCGATCGCGTCAAAACCTATTGAACTTAATGGTAAATGACTCAATGTTTTGGTCACCACGTAGGGATCGCCGGTGCTTCAGAACAGGGTACGGGAGAAACCTGTTTAGAGCTACTCCAACTTACTTCCTACCTCCATGCGCAGAACAGCATGAAATTGATAAACAGATTTTGGAATGGTTAGAGAAAAAAAGGATATGCCTTTATAAATTTTTTGCAGCAATTCCACTTTTTGTTTGATAGACATCGAAACAAGCTTTCGCTTTCTAGATCCTTTGGCAGCTCCAGAATTGGAAACTCTTTTTGACATAATCAAGCTTACTTTTATAAGCTACTATTAAGCTTACTTTTTATAAAACTGCTCTAACAGTCTGCAAAAAATAATAAGCCGGATTCAATTAGAAGATTAAAGAACAACGCAATCTGCAACATTAACTGAAATAGATAATTAGATAATTTTAGCCTAGCTTATACCGTTCGTTATATATTAAACGGCATGCATAAACGTATTATACGCATGTGTAAAGGTATTATGCGCATGCATAAAGGTATTATGTGCATGCGTAAAGGTATGATGCGCATGCGTAAACACATTATGCATTTACGCACACGCAGAAAGTTTGTAGCTTTGAGGTCCGGATTATATATCATTCCGGATTAAAGACTTTATACTGTATATAGAATTGTTCTTTCCCTAGCAGCTGATAAACCAAGTGTGACATGGCTCATGAACCACCTCCCATTATCTCACTTAATTGTGCCAAAAATTTTCTGGTAATTCATTTATTTTCATTTAACATTTGTTTTATTGATTCACCTTGAATGCTTATCTACAGGTAAATCATCCAGGCTTAAGACATTATAAATTTACAAACCACACAGAAAACTGATACATGTCCTAAATGAGAAGGTAATTTTTGGTCCTCCATTTAAAAAGAAACTGCGAACTTAAAATCCCATTAAAAATGCAGTATGAAGTAGCCACTGAATTTGATGAAGTGAAACAATTCTATTTTCTGTAATATCCACCAAATTAAAGACAGCTTCTAACTGCAAACCTTAGGAGGAACTCAAAACTATTATAACAAGAGACCATACTGTTTGTTTATTAAACAATACCCCAGTTTGACAAGCAATTTGAAAATATCAAAGTTAATCATGCACATTTAGAACACACTGTTTTATAAAACTCACTACATTAATCACTACTGCCTTACATTAATCATTATATAGGATATTATATTTCACTATATATCCTTACATTAATCACTATAGCCTTCTTCTTTATCAACTTTACAAAAAAATTACCCATTTTTGAGAAATTTTATAATAATAATTAAAATAACTTCTTAAATAACAATACTGAAAATGTTTATACACCAAATATTTAAATGCTTGCCATCTTAAAAAATATTACAGATTTATTAAACAGAATACAGCTATTTTAAAACAAAGCGAACACACCTTGCCCATGAGTATCCCATGGAAGTTAATATATTTCTCAAGAAGGTGAAATGTTTGGTTTGGCTTGAATCCACCTATGCTTAAAAGAATAAACTTGAAAAGATACAAATACAAGAAAGCAACATGTGATAATAAAATTTAAAAAAATATATTTGCAATTTTTTGGAAAACATATAAGAACTGTTATACCACTAAAAAGTATTGTCATATTTTAATATATTTAACTGAAAAAAGGTATAACAACATCATTTCACATTTTCCTAAAAAATAGAAGAGAAATTGCAAAATTTTATGAAATTTATGAATGAGTTAAATTTTAAGTAAACAATTAACTAAAGACACACATTTATTGATGATTTTGAAAATAGCAATATAAATGAAAGCAATAAGTATTCCCTGACACAATACTTCTGTCCAATTTTTCAGAATGCAAAGTGAAATGTTCTTACCACATAATATAAAGAATCAAAATGATATTTTTTCATCCTATCAATGGCAGCAGCTATATCCCTATTTAAAAAATAAAAATCTTACAAATTAAGTTTTTAAAACCTGAGACACATCTGAATATGACATCAGAACATGCAGTAAAATGTTGTTGTAATAAAGAAAATTTCAGCTTAATTCTACACATAAAAACACTGAGTATGTAACAGAGAAAATAAGAAGAAAAGAATATGCATTCCAACTTTATCTAACCTTGATAAATAAAGTGAAGTACCATCACTTTTTCTCAAAACCACAGTTTCTTGTTCACCATTCTGTTTAGGTACTACTATTTCTATACAACCATTCCTGAAATAAAACATCAATCAATACATTCAATAAAAAGGGAAGTGCAATCTCATGGATTTTAGAGCCATTCGAAATTAAAGATTAGAAGTTATATTTATATTTTATTATTTTTAATTTAATTCAATTTGTTCTTTATTTGCCACACTTTTAAATTCTTACAGAAAATCACAAATTTGTTGCAAAACATTCAAAGCAATTTTTTTTTTTTAGATGCAGTATAAAAATGTTCCATACTGAATGTTTAAAAAGTAATTATTCTAATTTTAAACATGTCAAATTAATTATAGCAAAAGGTCAAAGAACTGAAGTTTTATATTCAGCAACACTTTTTGTAAAAATATTCAATAGCGAAAAACATGATTTCTCTTACTCATCACAAGTAACTAAATTTTTTTTCTGTAATTCATCAAATATTTCTTTGACATTTTCTGCATACATGGACTCCCCATGGAAAACATCAAAATTAATGTTCAGTCTCTAAAAAGAAATTATTTTATTAAGAAATAAGAAAGTATCTGTCTCATAAATTACATAATTAGGGAAGAAAATAATACAATAGTGCAGAATATGAATATAAAAGATTCTCATATAAGTAAATAATATAGAAAAATAATGAAAACATAAAAATACTCAATAGTAAATATCCTTAATACATATTAAGACATTTATTAATTATATAAGATGTCAATCAAAAATCTCATATAGTAAAAAAGTTTTAAACTTTGAACAAATTTCATTTCGGAAGAAATGACACATAATTCAAATAAATACCCTACATGGTATGTTGCTTTCATTTCTTTTAGGCTTAAGTCTCGTAATTTACTCCACAATGATAACACTTCAGAATCTCCTGAAATTCAGACGAATGATAAAATTATTTTATAACTATACAAGTATATCAAAATGCACGTTAAATGAAAAAGCATTAAAATGGAAATAAAAAAAAAAAAAAAAAAAAAAAAAAAAAAACATAGGTTCATCATACATAATCTTCTTTATTAACTTATGCAATGTGGGCTTGTAACTGAGTCATTTGTAGGACAGGATAGCACTTTATTTACAGTTTACAGTACAAACAATGTAAACATATATCTGTCTAGTATGCAGATTTAATTAAAATTATATCATTCTTCTATCTCTTCAGGTTGCATTATGAAAATACACCACATTTGTAGTTTCCCCTTCTTGGAAATTGTATGTGGAAATTGTCACGTTTAAGTGTGCATGTCTATCAACGGTTTCTGATACCTCTTTCCTAAAAGATTTGATTTCATCTTTCATAGACCTATCAAATCCATATGCAAACATTTCTTAAAACTGAAAACTCTAATAATCATGAACTTTCTAGCTCAATTAACCAGTTCTCAGTAATTTCAATTAAAATTATTTCAACATAAATTCAATAATGTTAATCATTAAAAACATGTAACAATCAATTAACTTTTCCATCTCAAATCAAAATTTAAACATATCGATGAATGCAATAAGTACAAAAATTGTTACATTTTATTACACTTTCAACAAATATCAAATAATTCACAACTGATAGTACATATTTCCTTCTAAAGAAAGAAAAAAACCTAAACATATTATGCTTCAGTAAATATAGTTAAAGAAATACACATAAATAAAATTTTTAGTAAACATCCTTTTAACAAATTCTTTTCCTTAAATCCAAATCTTTTAAGATTTTCTTAAGCACAGAAACAAAATAATGTGAATCAATCAAATTCTTCATATTTTACTAAACCATAGCTAATAATAATCATATTGCATAGTATTAGATATATTTTATTAATGCCTACCATTTTAGCTGTTAAAAAACTTGTTGAAATGAAATAGTGAAAATGTTCATAATGTTTCAAAAGTTAATGATGTTTAAAATTGTTTCCAGTGAGAAGTTGTTAATTAGTAAGATGAGTGTGCATTAATATAATCTTTTCCTTTCCATATGTAATCACTGCATGAAACCACTGTAATGCTAAATACCAGAGTTGAAAATGATAGCTTTGTGAGGAACACTCAGTGAGAAACTTGAGAGGGTTTCGGTCACTCTTGATGATGATTCAGAGTGAAATAAATAAAATTCAGATTTCTAGGTAATAATAACAGAAAAGCTTCTTTTAACAGCATATTTTCTATTATTTTTAGCATATTTTTAAACTTTTTTCCTAGTGAAGGCTACTGGGTTTTTTATATTTTATCTTTCTGAGGAAAACAAGCTTCTAATGGTGTATGATGAAGCATCTGTGTAAATGATAAAAGGCAAGTTAAAATTTGGAGAGCAGCACTGAGCACTGCAAATGGCCCTGTTTTGACATCCACTGTGTTATGGTTAGCTGAAAGAGTATGTTGCTATTATTCATAAAACACTAAAATAATTTATTTCAACTTTTAAATACCAAAGTTTCAATGATTTTGTTTCAGCAGTGTGACAACATATGACTTTTTTCCCCTCCTATAGTTGTGCTCTAAAGTTGTAATGTTCAGTTGTGTTTTCTTTTTTTATGCTTGATCAAAATAAAGTATTTATGTTAATTTAAGTGTATATTGTAAGAATGCATCTATTCACTGTATTAGCTGAAGCAGATGTCAAATAAAATTATATTTGTTACAGTACTATAAATTCTTTAAGTGTGAAGTTTGACTTCCATCCCCTTGTACAGAAAGGTGAACATAATTTTTGGTGTCAGGAGTGGGATGTGATGTGCATAATGTAGGGGTGCATGCTGCATGGAAATCCAAAGTGAAAACTGATGGTTCCATTTTTTGGATTGTGGTAAGTAGTGGTTTTGGTTTTTTGAAATAAGGTTTAATGTTAAACCCTGTTAATTAGTGTTGTGCATTCAAGCATTCTTATTTGATAATTTGAGTTGATAGTGTCCAAGTTGAGTAAGATGTGATTTTGTTTGTAACTACTGTGTTCTAATTATTAATTTAGGACTGTTATATTTTTATTTAAGATGAATCTTAAGTCAATTAAATCATTAAAAAAGGATGCAATGGCACTCATGGCAGTGTAGTATGGATTAATAATTTTGAATTGCTTTGAAAATAATAAAATAGCTACTTTGGAAGCTTCAACAGAAAGTTCAGAAGTTTATGCAAGTGATAATGAATTTGTGAAAAATGTTATTGATAATATTTTAGAGGAAAAGAAAAGATAAACTAAGGAACAAAAATCAGATAAGGAAATTAAATTACAGTTAGAGAAAATAAAACTTTCTCCGTTAGAGACAAAATTAGCATTAGCTAATAATAGGAAAGACTTGTAAAAAATCAAAATGTTGAGATGGATACCTCAAATTAAAATATCAAAAATTTAATTTAAAGTGAAAAAACATTAACATTTTTGGTACCTACTAAAGTAGAACCTTTAATCTCTTTTTCCAATTAAATGAAAGGTTGTGTGTGTGTTATTATGGCAAAGCCTCGAGGGCTATCTGCCTAAGGGGAGGGATGCCTTCGTGGAGGACTTTCTAAGGGAAACTGGCTCGTATACACGTTACACATGGGGAAAACCACGAAAACGCCCATGCAGCCAGCCCGTTCGCGGGATTCGAACCTCGCACCGAACTACCAGTGTTCAGCGACTTTACCGCTCGGCCGCTGGTGGGCCCCAATTAAATGAAAGGGATTTTAGTTTTAGAACAAAAACGTACTCAAGGATTTGAAAGAAGAAATCCTATTAAATATTTTGGGGGAAAAAATACCACAAATTTAATAGCATATGTCAAGGAAGAAAATAGCAGTTAAACAGGCAGAGGCATGACTTGAATCCCAAACTTTAGGTTGTGAATGTGATTTTTATTTATTGTCATAAAAAAGTTAAGTATGAACTATAGCTTTTTTCAAAATCATTTTCAAGTAACAATAATAAGAGGGGTGAGGCAAATGTTAAAAATTATCATAAATATAATGAAAAAAAGTTTCAAATGCATATGTATCTGGAGTAAAAAGATCATGATGCATTTTGTGTAAAACTAATAATAATAATAATAATAATAATAATAATAATAAAAAAAGTGTTACGACATCGACCTAATTTTAAAAGGTTTGCAATAAATGAGCGAACTGAAATCAACTAACAAAATCATTTTTGTTTCATTTGGGGGGGGGATGAAATGTAAAAAAGCATAGAGACAGAAATTATTTCTGTGGGAAAGCAGATCATGATATGACTAATTTTCCTAAGGAATATAAAATTCTTTTGAAAACGGATAATGTTGATACCACACAAACTCAGGGGAATTCTTTAGTGTCAGGGTCAAGCTCAAGTGCATAAAATAGTTATGATAAAAAAAATTACAACAGCATTTGTTTCTGTTGCAAATGTAGAAGTACAGAATAAGATGCAGTCCTGTTGATTAATTTTAGCTAACTACTGTGAAAGTGATATAAATACAGAGATATAAATTGGGACAGATATGTGTCGGCAGATTATTGAAGCCTCTTCTTTTGAAAAAATAAACCAAGCAACCTGACAACAATTTTCGGATTTACTTTACATGTAAGTCAAGATGTTTACAAACCTAACATGAAAAGTGCAGAGTCAGCAAATTTTTGCATAGCTGCTTCAGACACTCAAGTATCGTGGGAGCTCAGTGCTTCAGGAATTAAAGAGAATGACGAGTTAAATGTAGCTGACAAAGCACTGATAGATAAATTTGAGAAAAATGTTATATTTGAACCAGAGACATGAAACTGATTTATTATGCAAATTTAGTTATAATAAATTAGGAAACAATATTTTTAGCTAAAAAGCAATTTAATAAATTAGGAAAGAGTTTTTCTAAAAATGATCGAGTTACTAGTAAGTATAGGGAAATAATAAACGATCAAAAACAAAATCATAGAAGCTTCATTATTTAATAGAAGAAATCAATAATTTTTAATGTTTTATGAATAAGAGCAGCAGCCTCTTTTGGTCGGTAGCAACACAGTACAAGTCGTAACACTGGGATCCCATGACCCCATTATCAGCTCAAATGAAAATTAAACTATAAATATGAAACATAAAATAAAAAAAAGGAAAGAAATCAAATTGATAAGTCACCCATGGGAAGTCGGACTAGTTTATGAACTGGTCTCTTCCTTTCACCTGAGACAGTTTTGTGTGACAGTTTTCAAGTTCAGCACTCTTACTCTATTATCAGTTAATTTATAGATGTGAATTTCTTTTGCCATTTTCCACTCAAGAGGCAGCAAGTATTCATTATTAATTAGCCCAAAATAATTCATACATAAATTGGAACTGAGAAATTTCCACTTGTGCCTGACTTGCAACTGATTCAAGTAGTCTTTTGATCACTAAACAGCTGGGAAATCTGTATAACTAATTTCTACTATTCACAGATGCTAATTTTTTAATTTGTAAATTTAAGTTCAGGAATGCTTTTAAACTCCAAATTAATAATGAAATGATGTGGTGTAATGACAGAAAAATCATTTCGTTTCTCAAAAACAGCCATTAAAGGAAAGGATGGGAGTTAAAACTGTGACAAAATGAGGAGCTGATGGAACATTCATTGCTCATTTGAGGCTTTCATTGGTCAAGTAAATACCAACGTCTCAACTGTATAAGCTTTTAAATAACTCTTTGAGACAATAAAATTTATTCTACAATCACTGAATATTTGAGTTGGCTTCAACTTTGAGTTGACAAATGAATCATTTTAATGCTGCATTTCATGCCTGAGCATCAAGATCATGGACAAGTTCTAAATGTATGTTCATGTGCTTTGGAATGAAAGCCGTCCATTTAAAGTGTGGCAAAACAAAATTTTCTTTTTTTCTTCCCATAGTTGTGTTCTAAAAATATAACATTTGGTTCAGTTTGCATTTTTGTATGTACGTAATGTAAACAGCAAAATAAACTATTTAGGCTAATTTAAGTTCATATTTATTGTAAGAAAGTGTTTATTAATTGTATAAGCTCAAGCAGATGTCATACCGACATAAAATGATGTTTGTAATGGCTCTTCTAAATTTTTCTGTCAAGTTTGATTTCCTTTCCCTTCTACAAAGAGATGAACAGGCACATTTCAGCTGAGCAAATGCTTCATCATGTTCTTTCAGCCAGGTGATCTGGTTTGAAGTCCTTCTTTTTGTCAACGTTGTTATAGGTTGTGGTTTGGTTTATATGATTAATGTGAAGCCTCGAGGGCTATCTGCCTGAGGGTAGGGATGCCTTCGTGGAGGGCTGTTGAAGGGGAAGTAGCTTGTATACACATTGTACATAGGGAAAACCATGAAAACACTCATGTAGCCAGCCTGTTTGCGGGATTCAAACCTCAGACCAAACTACCAGTGTTAAGCAACTTTACCCCTCGGTGGCTGGTGGCCTGTTAAAGGTTAGGCTGTTGAAAAAAAAAATTGAGTATGTATAATCTGTAATATAATAATGGTGCTAAAAGTTTCCTTACATCTTTCTTAGTAGCAGGAATTTTTAAATTCTGGATTGCTTTAACTTTTCTGGGTTAAGTTCATGTGAATCAAAACCAACCATATGTTCTAAGAATTTGATTTTATGCTTTGCAGTATATTTCTTGAAATTAACATTGAAATTTGCTTTTACTAGTACACTTAAGGTTTCATCAAATTATTTTAGATCTGTATTCTAGTCACTGGAAAATATAATTATATCATCAGTATAAGACGCAACATAGGGTTTATGTTGGGCAAGTCCTCTGAAAAGATGTGGTGGCATTTTTTAATCCACCAGATAAAACTGCAAAAGTTTATAGCACCCAGTGTGTCATAAGACAAATGTTGGCATTCAGGGTTTAGAAGTATTTGCCAATATTGTTTAAGATCACTGATGAGATTCAAAATGATCAAGTAGATGATCAATGTAGTTGGACTTTGACATTTGTTAAATTAGGTCTATAGCATTTTTATTGGAAAGGCATCAACTTCACTCTGGGAGTTCAGGAATTGCAGTCATAACCATACTGTTCTGCTTTTTCTCCACATATAAACTACTGATGTTCATATTCACTCTTTGCTTCAACAATTAGTTCCAACTATTAATGATTCAACAGTTAGTACCAACTGTAATATCTCACCAATTTTTTTATCAACTCCAGGAATCTTTTTTAGGACTTCAGACATCTAGTTTGGCTTCTGCTTTTTAGGTAAACTTTCAGGTTTGAGTCTGATGTTATATTCTCCTATATCAGCGATTTTCGGAATACCAGATCTGAGACAGGCATACTTTCTTAAAATTTCAATGAGTTTTTTTTGTCTTGAGCGATTCAAGAAACAGAACATCAATTTTTCGATCATGATGATATTCTTCTGCTTCTGGTGGAATAATTCTTGGAATATTTTCAGCTTCTCTGAAATCAATATCTGCATTGTGTAATACACCAACATGAGTTGCAGCAGTCTTGAATCCTCGTATCTTATTTGTGTGAAAGTGCTTTAAAGTGTTGTCAGGCATTTGCACTATGTAACTGTAAACAGTATGTTTGTTGATGACTGCAGTGGGTCCAGTCCATCTTGCATAATCTTTGTTTTCACTGCCAGGGACTAATACTGTGATTCTGGTACTTTCCTTAAATTCTTTATGATGAGTCTTCCATTTATGGTTGAATGCAACAATAATGAATATATTGTTGCTTGTCAGTAACTGTAAGTTCTGCATTTTCTTTTTATAACTTCATTTTCAGGTCATTCAGATAATCAGTTACTGAGCTTAACTGTCCATAATGAATAGGGTATCATTAGCCCAAAGCCATAAGGAATAGGGTTTCATCACCCACAAAGTTCATTTACAGCATTTTCAACATAATATGGATGCTCCATAATCATAATAACATCCATAATCAGCAATAAGTATAATCAAAATAATATGGAGCAGCGAGAAGGTACATAATTTTTTTTTTGTTGTTGTTTTGTTTTTCATTGAATGGGATAGCAAAGACAGTGAAAATCATTGGATAAAGAAAGACTTCAAAAAGGGATTCATTAGAAATTGGAACCAAAAATGTGCTCTAAAAAGTTCACATAGATTGGAATATAAAGTTCTCTTTCTACCTCTGCATATGAAGTTAGAATTAAAGATCTTATTGAAGCAATCTGTCCAAGCCTTACCAAATGAACGTTCCAAATACTCTGCGACAAATTTCCAGCCTCACCAACTGCCAAACTAAAACACGGTGCTTTTACTGGTGCTGACATAAGAAAATTTCTCAAAGATGGTAATTTTGAGAAAAAAATTGAAGTTTTGGAGAAAGAAACCTTGGCAAGTCTTTAAAATAACCAAGTTTCTGCACAGTAAGAAAGATCCAAACTTTAAATAACTACTGAGAAAATACTGCAGAAGTACAAAAATTTAGAATGTTCCATGAGTTCACTTCCTAAATTCACATTTGGATTATTTTCCTGAAAATCTGGGTATTGTTAGTGAAAAGTTGGGTGACAGATTTCATCAAAACATCAAAGAAATGCAAAGGAGATATCAAGAAAATAAACCACTTTGATGATGGCTGACTACTGCTGGATGATACACTGAGATGAAGACTATCCAGACATAAAATGAAAAGTGAGAAGCAGAGCATAATTGGCCCATGCAAACTTCCATACATAAAATAAAAATGTCTATTCTACATACATTGTCATGGTACAAAGTAAGAAAGAGAATAAAGCCTAAGAAAAAAAAATTAAGTCTATTTTAAAGATCTCACATTTTTGCAATTTTTCGAATTTTTACAAATTTTGAAAGTTGCAACGTTTGAAAAAGCCTGATGAGATGGGGGAAAATGAATGTCATTTTCTGATTCAACACTAAAATAGATACATACGAATCAATAATTGAGTGTTAAAAACATGACAGAACCTAAATTATGCAGGCTTGTGTATTTTTCCAAGAAACTACATTTGCATCTCAAGATTGAAGATATATAATTTATTCATATTTTATGGGATATAACAACTAAGTTCACAGAGTTCAGTACACACAGGCATAAAAACTTAGTCAACTATGTTCATAACTTGCTAAGTTAACAGTTAAATTCCATACTTGTTAACATAAAAAAGTATGTACTTCAGGCTACTGAAAAGCAGCAATCAAGCAAGCAAAAAATGGTAAAATATTATTTGATTCAACATGTTAAAAAATTTTAACTAATGCTATAAAGCAATTTACAAGTGAGCTTTTAGGAAAACAAAAAGTATATGAAACAAAATTCTAGAAACTGAAAAATGATTAAAAAACAGTAAGGCAAATACATTTAAAAAGTATCCTTCATTTACATAAAAAAAATGTTTACGTATCACTATTATTTTCTCTGTTGCATTAAAAAAAAAATTAAGTTTCTGGTTACTGATATAAACAATTTTAAGTATTAGAATTCCAGTTATTGTTTTTCTTAATATAAAACAACAACAATGTAGCAAGATAGACAATTCTCCTTTTGTCTTGCAATACATCGAGGAATATGAATTTTATTTCTATAAATTAATAATTGTCTTCAGATAAACTTTGTCTAAATTTTATAGCTTCTTACAAATCCCATATTTACCTTCTTCCATTAGTTGAAAATATTTCCTTGCTTCTTCATCAAATTCTTTATCATTTGATATTCTTGCATTTGCTTCCTTATACACCTAAAATATTTTTTGACAATGCACAAATTAAAAAACAAAACACACCATAATTCAAATATATTTGTGAAATATAAAAATTAAAACATAAATTATGGTAAAAAAAGCAGCAAGTGGAAAAATCACCTCAATTTTGATATTTATAATTAAAATCTAAAATTTATGTAGATGGCATAAAATGTGTAGCTGCTTTTTAATATGTGGGAAAAAACTACATAAGTAATAACTAAACAGATGTGATGTATCCATAAATAGTAGTCACTGACTTAATAGTGTAAAATCTGAGTATTATATTACAAATTAAAAGCTCATACTGTAAAAAATGAGAAAAAAGAATAACATGCATTGAAGGGCAGTAGAAATACTCTTTAAAAGTCTCTAATTTCATTGCCAGATTCAAATCAATAAATTTGGATGGTTAGTTTATTTGTTTATTGCCTTCAGTTTCCAGAAATTTATCAAGTAGGTTTACTCAACATGGACACTGTAACGATTTCAATTATTAGAAAATGAAGAATCAGTAAATATGTAAATTTGCTGCATAGCATAGATATGGATAGGCACAGAGTATGAAATATGGAACATAAGTTCTCCAAACAATCAAAATGTGCGAAATAATTTTTTCAAAATTTGATTTAGATACTTAAATTAAATCTTGAATGATTTTTTGTCGATTTTATCCCACATAGCATAGCTTAACGAATAAACTAAGCAGTTTACTACCTGCACAATCACATAGAATGGTGACAAATCTTTTATATGAAGTTTGCACTACACTTTTAATTTAATTTGCAGAATTTTTTTTTTTTAGAATTTCTGAAAATCGCTCCAATTTTCTAACCCATTATTAAAAAATTCCAAGTTTTAAAATTTTCAAAAATTAAACAAACTCTTCACCCTCTTAAGACAAGAATACAAGCCTAAAAAAAGAAGAAAAAGCAATATTCCAGATTTTTTTCCTTTTTAATACTTCTCATGACTTATGTAAAATTCTCATTCTTCCTTGGCTATTGCGTAACTTCATTTGAAAGCATGGTTTTAATGTTTTGATGTCATCAATGTGCTCAGTTTACATTGCAGTTTTGCACCGCAGTTAGTACTTACGATCACAGCTCGACTTTACAAATTTACGACTGACAGATATCGCATGTATTTGGGAAGAAAGAATTGCTTAATCTCGCAACAACTGAAGGGTATGATGTAACTTCATATCACACTATTCCCCTCTATGTATACATTTTGCTCCTTTATGTATTCCTTTCTAAAAAGAATTATTTGCAAAGAAATTAGGCTTAAAGACTTTTGCTATTTTGCAAATGAAATTTCTTTTCTTTTCTAAAAAGATTTTGAATTTAGTACTTATTTTATTTATTTATTTATTTTTTTGCTGATTTACTTGGCAAATAGTCTTTGTATTCTTTGCCATAAGTCAAACAATCAAATACAATCTTTTGCATTTTACTGTATAAACAACAGAGTAAGGCCTGATTGCTATATTTAAAATCATCTGCAATGGAATCTGCCATGCCATTTATAATTTTTTCCGTGTTATAAGTTCATACATATTTTTCTCAGCTTTTTATTTAAAAAAAAGATTTTCTTAATTTTGCTGTGATGTGTAATGTCATATCCTTTTACACAAAATTTCGCATACAAAAATGCGTCTGTGATAAAGTTTTGAAACCTTCACAGATTATAAAATTGACTCTTCACACTCTTTTAAAATGAGAATAATAAAAAATATTAATAAATTAATTAGGTAATTTTTCTAGAACTTGTTTTTAAACTAGCTGCTTGCAGAGCCAGAATTTTGCACGTAATGCATAACATGTCAGACCGAAGTCCATAGGAGCAAACAACTAATACATAAAATAAATAAAAAGAGGAGAGATTCACAGGCACATATACTAAAACCTTACATAGGGTTGCAAAATTTCATTTTAGTATTTGTAGCTAAACACAGAATCTCTATTGAACACACAATGGAGTTCCATGACATACAATGACATCTGCACCTTATATTATATACACATATTTCTCCTGATGCTGGTCATTATTTGCATTTCAGAAGAAACTGATCAGTTTGGATTGGATAATTAGGAGTGTCTTTTGTTCATTCTATGAAAACATAAATAAGACTGATTGGATACTTAAATATCATATTTTTATGTATATAAAGGTAATTTTGATCACCAACATACATTAAAAATGTTGCATTGAATTTAAGACATTAGTAATAAATTCACGCAGGTATATACTAATTCACAGCAAATTAAACAAAAGGAAAACTAATTATATCATTGAAATTATTAAATAAATACCTCAAACAAATGAGTTAATGGATCTGCACTAAGCTTTTCTTCACTTCCAAATTTCCTAAAGCCAGCAGCAAGAATACCTAAAGAAAATAACTTTACATCAATAATTAAATGTCAACAAAAAAGCTTTTATTTCTCTTTATTCATTAATTAATTTTAACTATATTTACATACCATACTGAAAACCCCAGTCTCCAATATAATTCATTCTAGTTACTTCATGTCCTACATAATTACATATATTGGCTACAAAGTTTCCAATGATTGTTGATCGAAAATGGCCATAATGAAAAGGTTTAGCAATGTTAGGTGAGCTGTTAATATAACACATAAAGTACTTTATTTTATGACAACAAATAATCATAGCACAAAAATGTATAAACACAGGATTTTACCTACATAAAAAGTAGGAACTCATACACAAATATATAATATAATATATAAATAAACTTATATATATATATATATATATACATATATATATAAAAACTTAACAGACAATTTTACTTCTACATGCAAAAAAAATTTCCTCGTACTTATTTAGACTAACCTTGTTATTCATTTAAGCCTTTGGATTTTCTTTCATTCATAAAGGCATTCAAGATGTAAAATTTTTGTCTCAGCATAATAAATATTCACTACTGAATAAACTTAGTTGCCATGCACTAAAAAGTCACAAACTTAAATTCAAAGCATTTTTATAAGCACAAAATTTTATATCTTGCAAATTTCAGACATTGTGATTTGAGGGGAGAATTACGTTAACTTCGTAGTGAGTAGCAGTTCCTTCATTTTTCAATAACTTTAATAATTTGTATGCAAATATCCTTTATTTGTCATTGAAAGTGAATTACACTATATTGGACAGACTTTTATTTTTTGTTTTTTCATTATTGCATAACTATTTTGGCTGGCATCAGTAAATCTCTACATATAATAAAACAAAGAGTCTGTGTGTGTGTGTCTTTCGTTCATGTTGCGCGTAAGCTAATAGACTTATGGCTACGAAATTTGGTACATATGTGCATGTAGACATGAGCCAGTGCACCTCGAAGTGATTTTTTCGAAATTCGAATTTTTTTTTAATTTTATGTTTTGTGGCGAAATCGCGTCATTTTGAGACACAATGGGCTATAGCAAAGCGAGATTTTTTTCTACGCACTCCATTTTCACATCGTCATGAAATGTAGACACTTAGCTATTTTTCGAACTTAAAATAAATTTTGTGTTTCAATAAATCGATTAAATACGAATTTATTTAACAAAGTGAGCTTAACACCTTTTGGGATTTTTTCTAAAAAAGTTTATGTTTAAAAATGTACAGTTTATTTTTCTTTGATTTTGGGACACGTTAAACTTTCATCCTTGCGACTGCTTTTACAAAAAGAATTTTGGAAAAATGATAATATTTTGTATTTAAAAAAATTTTTTTAAATGAAGCTTCCGAGTACACTTCTCACATCTTTAAAAATGTGATTCTGGCAACAATTTTCCTGTCTTATTGTTGTCAACAGATTTTAGATGAAATAGCATCATTTTGAATAGTTTCATTCTTTTAGAAATATGGGTTTGGCAACAATTTTTCATCGTATTTCTTATGTCACTGTTTTTAAGAGATTGGCATATTTCATTGTCATTTATATATATATATATATATAATACATTTTTATTGATTTTTTTTGATAAAGTTGTTCTGTAGAGTAAAATTCTGAGCGGAATTTTATGTTTTTTGAGTTGCTTTCATGTTAGTTTTTGCTTATTTCACTGTTTGTAAGATATTGAAAAGTTTTGCATGATTTTTGTTCTTCAAAGGAAAGTTGGTTAATGTTTTTATCAGGATAATTAATATTTGTATTAAGGGATATAGCTTATTTCATTGTAATTTTTTTCTCTTGAAAATATAAGATAAAATACCATTAATCATACTTTGCTTTTCAGAATTTTTTGTTTTTTGTATTCTTTTATGTTATTTATTGTTCATTTCACTGTTTTTAAGATACTGAAAAGTTTTGAGTTAATTTTTTTAGAAAACAAATTTCTTAACGTCCTTTATACCATTTGAGTTCTTAAGATTTTGCAAAGGGAAGTTGGTTAATTTATTTATTAGGATAATAAATATTTGTATTAACGGATATTGCTTATTTCATTGTAATTTTGGTATACGTAATAACTATTTTTTATGAAGTTGTTCTGCAGAGTAAAATTCTACACATTTTTCAAATTTAACGCTTGGTGTTTCCTTCAGCCATTTTTCCGGTACATTTAAAAGCCAGACGAAGGCTGGCAGCGAAGCTGCTAGTATTATATAAGTTATGGCAGATGAAAGCAATTAAATACATATATATTTTTAATCCTACACCCATCTTCGGCATTTGTGCCATTAGTTGACCAGCAGCCCAATACAATGATGACAGAGTAAAAAGTAAGGGTAAAAATTAGCCTTCATAACGTTGTCTGTAATAAACTTTAAAAGAATAGGGGAGTTCTTGAGGCGGTTATCATCCATATCTCCCTGATGACACAGAGGGCAAAGATTTGAATCCTTGACTCCAATCCGATGTAAATGTTGCTGCAAATAATCATGGCCAGTTGTTAAACAAAAGCAACAACTCCAACAGCCTGAGATAAGAAAGTGGGGATATCAAGAGATCCAGCATTGGCAAGTCTATCTGGTAATGCTAAATCTGCTGTAGCGCTTATCACCTTTTAAGAATCTCTTAATGACAGAGATTAGTAAAATTCTTTTCTTTTGATTAGTGATAAGTTCTGGCTCTTCAGTGATTAAGCAATTAAATATCTGGTTGTAACAAAAGTTTTCTGCCAAAAAAGGTTCTTAATTAAGTTAGGATAAAAAAAAATGAAAGCAGTACCTATAATGCGGCATGTATCACCACCTAAATGTATGATTTTCTGCCAATGTCTGGGTAGTTTTTCAAAGCCTTCAGCCCTGAAACTTGGTGGCCGAAGGTCCAAAAACAGATCAACCTCATTTTAGATGTCGTATAGAGAATGGAAGGTAGCACCAGCAGGATATAGCTGCAGGTGTGAAAAAAGGTAAAAGTTCAAAGGAGTGATGTCAGGGCTATATGGTGAATGTGGCAAAAGATCCCATTCGAATCCATACAGAGTCTAACAGGTGAATGCAGACATACGTAGCATATTCGGAAACTAAGTACCGTTTCATTCTAGTGCCGTCGCAGCGCTGTGGTAGGCGTCCCGTGCATGCGCACTAGTCTTTCTTGTTCACTGACTTTCAATTGTCGCCATTTTGGTTGCTCTATGTTGTGTTTTCAGTTTGCTGTGAACACTGAAAAAGTTTAAGACAATTAGTTCTCCCGCTGACTGTGAAATTCGTGCTGTGATTAAATTTTTGAACGCAAGGAATGTTAAACCGGCCGAAATTTATCGTCAAGTGACAGAAGTTTACGGTGAATACGCGATAAGTGATGGAATGGTGAGAAAGTGGGTAAGAATGTTTAATGTAGGTCGAACAAATGTCCACGCCGAGGCTCGGAGTGGTCGGCCTTCTGTTGTCACCGATGATTTGGTACGGAAAATTGATGAAGCAATTCATGAGAACAGATGCTTCACAATGACAACTCTTTCAGAGGCATTTCCACAAATTTCACGTACTGTTTTGTTCGAAACTGTGTTTGACCGCTTGAATTATCGCAAACTGTGTTCCCGATGGGTTCCAAAAATGCTCACTGATGTTCACAAAACAAAGCGATTCGGTAGTGCCCTGACATTTCTCACGCAGTACAGTGATGAGGGAGAAAACTTTTTAAACCAAATTGTGACAGGTGATGAAACTTGGGTGTGTCATTTCACACCAGAATCGAAACAACAATCGATGGAGTGGAGACACACTCATTCTCTGAAAAAACAAAAGTTCAAAGTGACAATGTCATCACAAAAAATCATGTGCACTGTCTTCTGGGATAGGAAAGGCGTTTTGCTTACTGATTTTCTTCCCAGAGGTGAAACCATTAATGTGGCACGATATTGTGAGACTTTAACAAAAGTAAGGTGTGCCATTCAAAACGAACGAAGAGGAATGCTCAGTAAAGGAATTGTGTTGCTCCATGACAATGCTCGGCCCCATACTGCTGGTGTGACTCAATCGTTAATTCGACAGTTTCATTTTGGCAGTTCAATCACCCGCCGTACAGCCCGGACTTGGCGCTGTTCAACTATCACTTGTTCCTGCACATGAAGCGCGAGCTTGGTGGCAAGCACTTTGGATCTGACGATAACACGAAAAATGCTGTGGAGTCGTGGTTATCGAAACTCACGGGAAGTTTCATTGACGATGGTATACAAAAACTGGTCACCCGCCATGACAAGTGTTTGATCATTGGCGGAAACTATGTTGAAAAATAGTTTAAGACCTGTATTTTCATGTAAAAATAAAATTGGATTCGAAAAAATTGTTTTACTATTTTTTTTTTCAAAACGGTACTTAGTTTCTGAATACGCCTTGCATGTGATCTTGCATTATCTTGATGGAAAATTACTTTTTTGAGCCAGAACACAGTTTGACATTCTTCCTTGATAGCAGTGTCATCACGGACCTGTACACCTTACTGTCAAGGGTTTTACCTTTTTCCAGATAGTCTTTGTGGATAATAATACCATGGCAATCCCACCAGATACAAAGCATGATCTTTTTGTTAGACAAATTGCACTTGGTGATGCTGCCGATGGGCTGACTGGGTGACTCTGTTTGTTTATATTATGCTTTCCCTCCTCCCCTGCAACAGCTATGCATAGGTGGGATGCTCATTTGTGAGAGATGTTCACAGGGTATTCATATATGGGATGCCTCGTCCAGAAAGGGTTAAAATAAAAGAGCTCTCGTGTTTATCATAACAATGAAGAAATTTCAAAATTTTCAAATGGCAACACTCACCTTTTTTTCTGTGCAAACTGATCCGTGCATTTAAAAACCGTAAATGGCACAGGAACGACACACGTATAATGAAAATTGCTGCCGTAAAACATGTACAAAGAAGAGCACACAAAAGAGGAGAGGGGGGGAAACAGGTATTACAAGTTTTCAACGTATGTGTCTTCGCAAACAACAATGCCTTCATGTGGAAGACTTTTGACAACAATGAGGAATATAACATTGCACGAGGAATCTGTATAACTTCACATTTTATGGCATCTTTCAATTTTAACAAATATTGTGGATTTGATGTGTATACCTTAGATTTCAGAAAATCTTGAACCAGAAATCCATTGGAGTGAGGTCGGACATTGTGGTAACCGCAAACCTGCAGTTATAGATATCTCTATCTGCAAAATACTGTTGCAGCTCTTGCTGAACAGATGTAGCAAAGTACAGAGGAACACCATTTTGCATCTATATAATAACATTAATGACATTTTGCTGCTGCTTTCTGGAATTACATAATTCTGCAACATTGTTGTATACTGAGCACTTGTGATGAAGCTTGTTTTCATACTTGTCAAAGCGAACTATTTTGAAGCATGGACCTGAAGAAGCACGGACCTATAGCAAAAGTGACTGCAATGTCACTTTACATAAAGGCACTGGTGCCACACTGTAAGGATTTTCGTCAGCCCAGAGAATACAGTTCTTAAGAGTTTTAGGATAAATGTGCCTCATCCATCCCTAACCTGATATCTCCAACATATCTGATGAAAAAAAAATTCACAAAATGCTGTTACTCATCTCCAGATTGCAACATCTGGACATTCTGGAACCAATAAGGAAACATTTATAAAACGCAGCAAAAAAGCTTCAAGCCTGTGGTTTTGGGTACATTGAGACTGTGGGCAACATTTCATGCAGTATGCAATGGACCTGTAGTAATGTATATTATGCACTTCTGCAAACTTGAACAGGAACACATGGTCATCTGAATCATTGTTCATCACATATGCATCTAGTTTTTCAAACTTTTTTACCAAATTAAGTACAGTTTTTATGGAACATGGACCTCATTTTATGATTTTGCCAATACACTCACATTTGAGCAGCATTTTTCCTGCTCAGATAAAATAGCTTTATCAATCCATCTCATTGTTTCCTGTAAGTGTCATCTTGTTAGCACATTTCAACATCTAATTGAAGAAATAATATTTCCACACTGTTTATTAAAGGTTTTCTCGAAATAATACTTTACACACGGTGTTTTGTAATTGGTGATACTACTGTGTATCCCAGTGATTTATACAAAGTGCACCAATGCACTTTGCACCTCCTTTTTGTGTTGTCATTGGTCCTTTACAATGTTCTTTGCACATTTTTTAGGCCAGCAATTTTTGTCATATGTGTTACTGTTCTAATGCCCTTTATGGTTTTCCAATATGCTCATCAATTCGTGCAAAACAAATGTGGGTGTTCCTTTTCAAAATTTTTTCACTGTAGCTGTAACCAAGAGAGCTCTATTGTTTTAAATCATCACACCTTCATATAGCAATGCCTGAAATTTCATTTAGACTGGATGAGTGGATAGGCTGCTAGAGGTTTACATATCGCAAAAGTTTTTTTCTTTTGTTTGTTTTTGGAGCACCTTGTACATATAGAATTCATCATCAAAAATACATCACAATGGGCAATAATTTGTATTTAATGCACCAATTCATATCTTTTAATTTTGCAATTTGTGCCCCTGCTGTATCAATAAATGAATCTGCATCTTCTTTTAAATTATTTACTTGACACAGAGGAAACTCAATTTCTACTTCTTCAAGATATTTTTCATCAGTAATGAATGAAAAAGAAAATGATGGATGATGATGCACTATGAAATGATGCATTATGAAATGAATGGATGAAAATGAAACTTAAGTTCTCAAGTTAATGTCAACAACTTCAGTGGGTTTTAGTAACTGTTCCTTCAGATAAAATTTATCTGTTGTATATAAAAATTGCAATTACAAAAAAAAAAAAAAAAAAAAAGGGGGGGAGGGGGTAAGGTACCAAACTGAATTTAAAAAATGTACTTTACATTCATTCAAATAGCCATTTTAAAAATCTCTCTCTTTTTTTTTTTCAACCCAATCATTAAATTATAATATTTATTTTATTAATAACACAGATGCCAGACTGACTGCAAAAATTACTGACGATTTCACATCAATAAAAGTTGAAAATTTTTCGCTGCAGTTTATGTATATAAGGAACAATATCATAAATTAATATTCACTGCTAACAACTTAAATTATCCTTTAAAAATAGCAAATATAATTAGGTGTCTGGTAAATCTTACATTTTAAAAATGCAGCCTTTTCACTTCATTCTCTTTATTATCAGACTGAACATGCATGCACAGTTAAAAAAACACAGAGCATTCTATTTCTCCAAAATTCTTTTAAAAACCTCTAAAAGAGAAAGCCATTTTGCAGTGCAATATTTCAAAAAAATTTATAAGACTTTGCAATTTAGTCCAAAAGTTAAGCAAGTTTGAATTTATCCTTCCTTTTTGAACCTTTTCCAAATAAATATACACATGCATATCACTTCCCTTACACCTTTAAAATCCATAGTTTTTTTTCTTATATTCTCCACAGCCTGTAGTTTTTGAGAAACTACAGAAAATCCTTAGAATTTGGGGCCTATATATCATGACCTCCTGTTAGCTGAAATGCATTTCAAAATTTCATGCAACTCTTCTTTTTACCCCACCTCTGCAAATTATACATATCAACAGTATGGAAAAGTAACTATATTAAAAATATGATGAGCTTGCATGAAGATTACAAAATTAATTTAGAATGCACTTTGGTTTAAAGTCAATTTAAACAATAGTTTTATTATTAGTTTGCATTATAGTTTTATTATTAGTTTGCATTATTTTAATACACCTAAGAAGAATCAACTAGAAAAATGTAATATTTGTGATTTAAGTTTTACTAAGAGTTAGCTTTATGCTAATTTTTTTCATTATGTCTTGCTTCATAACTTCATGCACACAGAAGGAAGTACATGCAAATTGTACAGCAAATGGTATAGATTAAACCTAGGACGTAATCTTAACAGGCATCTGAGTAAAACTCTTGCCATTTTGTTGCAGCTTATTGCAAGGAATGTTCTCAAAGGAGAAGGTTTAAATGGCTATGTTAGTCATGAATGGTAAGTGTTAGGAAGCTAGATCCCCTCACCCCAATCTTACCAAATGATGATGTAATTTCAAGTAGGGTTTTTTGCAATCCAGTCAATAACTGAAATCTAGAAGCCAGTCCTGCACTTTTTAGTTGATAAGAAGTCACAATATTTGTTTTATTATACTTTTAGTTGTATATCCCCAAACAGTAAATAATAAAGTTCAGTGGTAAACTTGAGTTATGCAAAACACCTTGAGTTCAGTGTTTGATTTTACTCTTGAGCATTTAGAGAAGAGATAACTCACTAACCATTAGAATTAACTTCTTATGGCCTTCTTCCTTTAGGGTTGATGATAAACAATTTCAGTTAACTAAGCAGCCAAAAATGTTACAAAATATGAGTACAAAATTTCAAACTTTACCTGAATTCAACTAGTATGCTTTCAACTGGTACATTTCTGAAGAAACAACTGTTAGCTGGTATTACATTTATTCTAAAGCATATGTCAAGAAGAACACTCTAAAAATAGAGATTAGATTTTTATAAATGCTGATACAAAAAGAAGGATTTATAACAATGCTAAGCACAAGGCAGAGTTCATTATACTAATGCCAGTTATGTATATGAATACTTACTTTTTCACAGATACATTATGCATATTATTATTACACATTATTACAGGTATGTGTATGCAAACATACTAGAAATAATATAAATTATGTATTTCCTCACATGATTTTTCCCCTAGCTTTTATTACCAAGCTCTGAAAATTAAAAACAATACTTGTATAATTTTCCCCTTTTTCATGTGTTCATAGACTGAGCTCCCTTAAACTTTAAAATACATTTGATTCCTTTTACCAACAAAGATAAACCCTTACAAACTACCTGTGAAGGTCACCTTTCTCTTTTAAATGTTGAATTTTATTGCTAATACAAGTGAAATAATCATGATATATGACTAATGATAGTGAGGCAAACAAGAATTGACATTCAATCCATGATTTTGCTGAGTATCAGTTGCATATTCACCTCCTATAATTATTATAGATAATTTGAGGCCTGAGGAGTAGCAGAGACAACAGTAAGAACACAAAAGATTCAAGTAACCGGGAAGTAGTAAGGAACCTTATTAAATATTGTAATGCTAATATTATATATTCTAATAGGAATGTAGATTTCTTTTAAAGAAATAATATTGTGATAGTTAAAAAACCAAAGCATATTTATAAATCAGAATGTAGGAAATATATATATATAAAATTCTCACAATTCTCTAATTGGCACAGTTTTTACTTTCAAGGTGTGCAAATTATCAAAAGTTTAGTTTACTGTATTTCTATTGACATAGTTATGTACACACTATAAGAATTTTTATGATAGTCTTTTGTATAAGCTTTAAAATTTTTAATATGGAATCCTTATACCTTGAAGAGCTTTTGGTTATGTAAGATAATTTTATAAAAATAACTGAAATAATATCCCAGTTTGATGTAAATTTTGTAAAGAATTTGAGATGATGAGAAATTTTCTGCAGAAATGACATTTGCACATCAGGTTAAGGATTTCAAATTTTACCTATTTTCAAGGTGCCCAAATTTTTGCTATGTTTTCTAATTTCAGTTGTTATATTTTTTTAATTTAAATTTATTTATTTAATTATTTTAAAGTAATGTTTAATAATAGTTTTAAAGTAATGTATTTGAGTCAATGAAGTCTCTTGGATATACAAAGTGCAACATGTGTAAAATAGAAAGATATAGAAAGTACAAGAAAATACATAGATATTTATAAAAATATTTGGAAGAATGGTATAACTTCAAAATTTAAGTAAAACAAAGTAAATATATATTTTTTTTAAAATTCAAATATTAAAGAAAACTGGTAAATCATTCGAGTTAATATTGGACTGCCGATACAAACTGGGAAAACAAGGGTTATTATATACAAAAAACATCATCAAATACTTAACCATTACAGTAATGCATTTTTGAGTATTTTTCTGTTATAAGCATACATTTCTGAATGGGGTCCGAATTCAGAAACATATGCATGTATCTGTGTGTACATACATTTCCAAATCCAATCCTGATAACAGAAAAGTACCAGTTTTCCTTATTCTTTCCTGATTTTTGCATGAAAATAAGGTGATTTCATTTCTGCTTTCAAAAAATTTTTATGAAAGAATCACAAATATGTTAAAAACAAGGGGGAAGAAAACAAATATTAAGTAAGTAAATTTATTTGGCTAGACTTCTTTTCAGTCAAATTTTTACTAATCCCTAATTTGAACTAGTAGGCTTTTTGATTAACTTACAAAAATATCTTATATCTTATTTGTCTTGTAAGTAAACATTTTATTGTTCCTGGTCTTTAACTACATTATTTTAGAAATGCTTATTGCTTATTCATTATCAATTCCTCCCTGCATTAACAATTGCAAAAACAGTTATTTAAAGCTTCAAATCCGACTCTTTGGAAATGACTTATATTTTTCCTAATATTTTTCCTAAAAATATAAGTCATTTCCAAAGAGCAAGTATTTTTCCTGGAAAAATATAAGCATATTTAATATATCATATATAATATGTCATATATAAGCATATTTAATATATCATATATAAGCATATTTAATATATATAATATATCATATATCATATATAATATATTAAATATGCTATATATAATATATTATATATATATTAAATATACACAATTAATGCTTATATTTTTCCAGATAAAATTTACCTATACAAGTCATGAGTTAGTTTTAAATCTTCATTGCATCTTTCATACTGTCCAAACACAAAAATTAAAGAATAAATATAACACTTACTAAGAAGTCTCTTATGATAAATGCAGACTATTTGATAAAGATATAGATTTCTAGTTTTGGGTTTCTATCTTTATTGTTTCTTTTTTTATGAGAAAAAGTTTTTCAAGCTTTCGTGAAATTATAATGTAAACTAACATACTGTTTAAAAAATTAGTGTTTACAGTTTTTAAAAATACAAAGTAGAGAAATGTTTATAAAAGATTCACGAATATATTAAAAAAAAAAGAATGTGTGAATTTTATGTTAAAAAAAAATCAGGGTGTCAAATCAAGAAACTGCTGAATCTACATACATTTAATCAGGTTTCAACTGTATTCAGATATTCACCAAGGACACAAAAGAACTCAAATAGCTCTTTGGGCAAAAAAGCTGCCATTATTTGAAAATGTTTTTAATGCAGAGATGATTAAAAAATTTTAAAACTCAAATCAGGAAGGAGGGGAATGAACAGCAAAGTTAAATTTTACAACAACAACAACAAAACAAAAAAAAAAAAAAAAAAAAAAAAAAAAAAAAAAAATAAGGATGCTCACTGAGGTGAACCTTTCTTGCTCCACAACAAAAATAAATTTGTCTTGCTTGATACTATCCATATAGATATCAGAGATACCATCTTTAGTGGGAAAATCCTAGAAGTACACAAAGTAGCATATAACAAATCTTTCATTAGAAAAATAAATAATTGGCAATAAATTAAGAAATTAGGTTTGGTAATTTTGCTTAAAGTATTATATTTTTCCTTTTATTTAAATGAATTTATATAAAAATTTGAGAACTTTCTTGCAAATAGGGCACTTGTTGCCAAATGTGTGCCAAAGCAACAAATGTGGTGGCCTGTTTATATTGCATCATGAACAGCAGCATAATGTTAAACGTATGCCATGCTATGCAGACTGAAAAGCATGTTATACTATAAAATACATTACAATTATTCCAAATTAATTTTTTTCCCCAAAACTTTACACATCATTAAGGCTGCTGGCATCTGACTATATCGTGCATAAATGCTTATGTTTAGCACTAAATGGCCCCCTACTAATGGAAAAATACCAATATTTGAAGCTGAGAGAGTTGTACACTAATATCATTCTTAAAAAATACTAACATAGATGCTACAAACATACGTCTTCAAAGTAGATGAAGAGAGAGATTATAACATGTTAATAAGAGCCCAAAATTATTTTAGTTCCAATCTGCTTTAAAAATGGATATAGATCAATATAACAATTACTGTAAAACAGGTTTTGTTAAATAAATTATGCAGGTAAAGCAGTGGTGGACTCACTGTTCAGAAAAGACGTTTTGAAATTGGTTTACATTTATGGAGACAAATCGGAAACTAACCTGCGTTGTGACATGGCGCTAGTAGTAGTGGACAGAATGCAGCCATTGTTACATCAAGAAATCTGTGATTCAATAAGCTTCCTGCTATCTTAGTGGGAGTGCCGTATTGCCGCATGTGTGCTGGTTATAATGTCAGAAGCAGGCATTCATTATGAGCTGCATGTTGCATATGGTCTATAGAGAATCTCTATATTCTCTCTATGCATTCCCTATCTCTAGATAATATTGCACATCATTAACACTTAACACCAAATGACACCCTGCTAACTGAAAAATACTTTTATTCTCCAGGATATCAGAAATAATAATTATGTATGACAGATAATATTTAACACTTAATAAATATGTATTGATATACTTGCAGTGAATTTATTTTGGATGTCAATGATAAATTTTGGATTAAAAAAAATATGTGAGGAAGAAGTAATTAAGATTCGAATTAAATATTATTTATATTACAATTTTTAAAACCAGTATAAAGAAAAAGAGCTACTATTTATGTAAATCATAAAGGATCAGAATGTACTGCTAACAAAATGATAATTCTGATAAAAGCAAATCTTGCAAGACACCTTAAAATGGAAATTCAGTCAAAGATATAATGAAATATTAATAGCATCATATAAAGTTTGAAGACAAAATAAGAAAACAGGAAAACATAACCCTACCTGATTTTTTAAATAAGTTAAAACTGTATTTGGATGAACTCTTTCCTGAAGCTCAGGCTGAACTTTTAAAATGTCTTTCCATGTTAATTCAAATTGTGGTGGCAAACTGTAGTAAAAAATTTTTAATTAAAGTTATTTTAATAACAAATATTAAATTATACGATATTCTCATATATGGATTGTTTTAAAAATAGTTCTATATTTACATATTATAATTATATTTATTTAACAAATACAATATTATTTTCTCATTCATATAAAGCAAATTAAAAATTTAAATCATGCAATTCAATTGTAAACAAAATAAAATGATTAATTATTGCTGCAAACTAATCTGCAATATCATTCAAATTTATAAAGCACACAGAACTAAAGTGCAAGCTTGTAAATACATGAAAAAATATGCACTTTATTTACTTATGCTTTATGAATTTGAATGATATTACAAATTAGTTCGCAGCATTAATTAATCATTTTATTTTGTTTGCAAATGAATATACATGATTTAAAATTTTAATTTGCTTTATATGAATGAGATAACATAGTTTTGTTAAATTCACATTTCATTCTTTGCAGCATTGGCACAAGAGAATTATTTAATTTTATTTAATTTTACTAATTAGTTTCTAATGAAACAATTATAATTATATTTGATATTTACAAATTCAATGTACAAAATGCAAATAACTCTCATATGCTTTCTTTTAGCAAATAACAAATGCGATACAATTATATTTGAAACTTATGTATATGTCATGTATTTATATAACACATTGAATTTTATGGAAATCATTAACAGCATATTCAATATGCAGTTTGATGTTCCAGAATTAATAAAGAGTAATAAAAATGAAATAATTCAAATAACAAATTGGTACACAATATTTTGAAATATGGTGAATTCTTAAAAATACAAATGTTACAAATCAGAATACTTTTTTCATGAGAGATTGTGTTAAGACATTTACAGCATAGCATAATTTACTGCAAATTATTATAGTGGAATCTTGGATCATAAATGCCCTTCATCATGAGTAACTCAGCTTACAACCAAATTTATTATCTAGAGTGATGAATGCACAAGTCATCAACAAATGATTTTTAAGAGTATTTTGAGGTAACTTCTGACACAGAATCAACATAAGAGACTTCTGCAAACTTCATTTTAATATTCTTCATTGCTTAACTCTCAACGACAATGCTTGGCAGCAAGTGATTTACAGACCATGCATTCAGCCTCGAGGAATTTATGAATTAGACTGAGTTGTGAGCACAGATTTTTTTTTTTTTGTAATCTATAATATGCTTCTAGCAAAACAATGGGCTTAGAAGTTAACAATATAAAACACACATGAGTTACTAAAGAACCACAGAAATGAATTCATAGCACAAGAAATGGATTAATTTCAGTAGCAGGAGAAAAAAAAAAAAAAAGAGGCGACTGTACAGGAAATGTCTTCAGAGAGTGAGGAATAAAGAAGAGATATCCTAGCTCAGTTAGAGTATACTGAAGGGTGCCTCTTGTATTATCGCAAAGTTGTCATTTCATTTCTCGCCAAATTGTTGTTTCATTTATGCTAATTTGAGTAGTTGAATGTTATGGAAACCCTATTATGATGTAATCGGTTGCACGATTGCAGTAAATTTTGAATTATGGGAAAAGATTTGTAAGGGCTTGTGGTGTGTGTTGGTTAGGAAGTACATTGCTTGTTTCGTGGTTTAGACAGTCGAATGTGGTAAGATTAATTTGAAATTTCTGTATGATTTGGAATGAAAGGGGAAAAGAGCATTAATTGAGTGGCGCATAAATGAAGGTTTACTTAAAAGCTATTATAAGTGTACTGTTTGTAAGAAGGAAATGTGCATGGTCGAACGTCGGAGGTTAGCAGTACTATGGAGGATATTTTTTACTCATATTTTTGTGTATTTATGTGGCATCACCAGTATACAGATTCTAGTTCAGATACTTTTAGGACGTTTTTGGATGCTGTTAAGAAATTTTGTTTGACTGAAGAAAGAGAAATTTCTAAATAAGGTAAGTGGATATTTGCTTTGTGTAGTGCTAAGATGAATTTCCTTTTTCATGTTATTTGATTGCTTGATTTAAAATGTAGTTTACTGAGATCATATGTTTTTTGTTGGCTACTCCTTCGACTTTTTAAGTGAATATAAATCAATGTGTATATCGACAAAGTCAAGGCAGTGTGCAATGGCAAGTTTGTGCAATTCTCCGATGTTTTTTTCAGGTCAATGTGTATATGGATACCAAGTTTGTGCAATTCTTTGACTTGTTATTTTGTCTTGGTGTAGTGGCGATTTTTGTGTCAAAAATCGCTACTACACAAAGCCAAAATAACAACTCAAAGAATTGCACAAACACAGTATCCATGTACTGCAAATTTTCACCAAAGGGGCATCTATAAATATATTTTTACCCCTAGTTCTTTGATCCACAAAATTTGTATAAAATGGTACGAGATGAAAAATTTTATGCAGCGATTAGTACACTTTTAAGATTCTAAAAATACCATATTTTAATCTCTGAAAATTAGAGATGTAAAAACTCTAATTTTAATTTATTATTGAATGCTTTGATAAATGAGGATTTTTACATAAAAATACATTTTTCTCCATATGTGGTTTTTTAATACTCGATGTACCTTTTCTCAGTAACTACTGCTCCCATGTATGTAAATTTTTTATGGCTTATTTATTATATTTCCTAATATTTACTGAAATGAACTTTTTGTTGTAAACTAAGGAGGGAAAAAAATAAAATTACAAATCTTTTTTGTAAAGAAAAGTGTTAAATTTTACTTTGCATAATACAATATTCTATAAACTACTCTAAAATCAAAATTTTTCAAAACCTCATTTCAGTATAATCACACAGGTATGCTTTAATTACACAAAAAATTTCAAACATGTATTTACAGCAGATTTTGAGAAAAGGTACATCGAAAATGGCCAATTTAACACTGTCAGTATAGGGAGTTCCCACTGCCCTTAAGCTTTCATCTGTTTAACACTGAAATTCCCACAGAATTTCATTAACCTTCATAGGAAATAAAATTAAAAAAAAAATATTAAGAATTAGCAATGACTGGCTTTAAAAAATCCTTTTTTTTTCTTCTGACATAAGATTTACATTGTTTAATGCAAAATGCTAATGGTCTTTCAATTTGGCTAACATATGATGAACCATAACTGAGAGGAATCTCAAAAGTTTCCTAAGAAGATATTTAGTAAAATTTGAAGCAAGGCCTTTAAGGACTGAATAATGAAATTTATCAATGTGGGTGAAAATAATTTGGAACTGCTAAAAAATCTGGGTAATAAAAAAATATTCCCTTATTATTTTATATAATTTCCTTCAGATTCAGCACATACTTTATATATTCTTGTGGTCACAAAATATTTAAAGTAATTTTCACTTGTATTTTTTCTTGTTCTAATCTAAAAATTATAATAATTTTACAAAAAAGTACAAATATACTTACAATTTGTGCTGTTGTAATTTTAGAAGAACTGGTATACTATCAGCCATATGAATCACTTTATCTTTATTTAAAAGGGGTAAAATCGTTGAAACAATCTAAAATTAAAAATACATAATAATACTGCTATACAAAATTGATCATGCTTATAATAATACCTAAATAAATACACCTTTTTATTAAAAATTATATGAAGAGAGGAAAATCATAAGTTTTACTACCTTATACCCTATTCTTCTTCGGAAGACAGAAGCCATCTCAGTACACACTATACGCTGATTATTAAATTATTATAAAATAAGTCATAATAATTTAAAATTTAAACTCTTATTAATAGAAAGTTATATATTTGCGATATATTTTTGGAACTTTAAACACTAAGAACCGGAGTTTAAATAAAACTATTCGAATAAATTCACTTTACTAATTCAAATTTATGCCGAAAGTCACACAAAACACAAATAAACGGAAAAAAAGCACACAGATGTAAGGTTTTGCACCTTCTAAGTCTTTTTGCCTGCATGGCGAAAACTCAAGTGCGGGTGCGAATTTTGCACGTAATAAAGAAAGAAGGAGATACATTCCGGTGCCGTCAGAGATCACGTGATGTAAGGATTGTAATATAAACAAACAAGCTTGTGCTGCGGTAGATGTGTTGAAAAATCGGAAACTGTTTATTTTTTATTAGTTATGAAATTTGCATTTCATTTTTAATTATTATTTCAAACGTTAATTAAGTGTTCATTCATTTGGTTAGTATAATTTTTGCAACTCTTATATGTTATTGTTATCTTCATGATACTCTATTGTTCGCTGCTTTACCATGTTCTGATTGTTAATATTTATTTATGAATTCTTTCCTTGATCTGATAATTCATTTATCATTTTCCCATTATAGTGTTAATTCTTAGTTTGATTTCTAAATTCCTGCTTACATTTTCAGTTTCTAAGTGTTGACAATGCCTACTACATGTTGTGCATACGGTTGTTCAAATTACAATATTGTTGCGTGCGTACGGGTTCGTTATGAAATGAATGCACAAGTCCGATAAAAAATGAACAAAAATTTATTATTATCACAACAAAAAAAGGCTTAAATTTTCTCAAATTATCATGCAGTATTACAATATCTCACAGTAGTTATCTTTTAACTACTCAAATGTCTAATAGAACGTAATTCAAAACAGCTAAAGAAAGCTAATCCGCGAATTCGCTACAATCAACAAGAGCAGTTTTTCTAAACAACAACAAACTAAGCAACAACTACAAACTGAGATGTTTTCCTCCTTTTATAAGATTTTAAAATCACGAGCTAGAATTTTCCAGTACTTTTCTCGAAATCAAAAAGAGATATTTATTATTTAATGCACGCGCTCTTGTATTTCAATTTTCCGGCTTAGCTTTCTTTTAATATTCGTCACGCGCTGCACTGCGCGAGAAATAAAACCATTTAATTTATAATTGAACTAACATTAGCTTTTTAAATACCAAATTCGTAACACTGCCCCCTTCCCAAGGACTGCACGTCCCGGGCAGTACAATCCCTGGACAGGAAGCTAAACTTACAACTGTGGCATAAATGCAACTGAGGCATAAACATTACATTACAATATCAAACAACATGAACAATAAATGCAACACATAAAGCAAATCAAATGCTATCAAATACTAAAACAAAACAAATACTAAATACAAATCAATACTAAATACAAATCAAATACTAAATGCAAATCAAATACTTACAAATCAAATCAAATAAAAATTTACAAACAAAAAGGACTATGGTCTTACATTATGTTCAATTATATACACTACGTACTATGGCCATAATAAGAAGCTAACCTATCGTAATGGACGACTTTAGGTTTAGAGTTCGATGACTGACGGATCCGAACCACGACGTCGTTCAGGCTGCTTAGGACTGTGTAAAGACCATTCCAAGGTGACTGTAGTTTAGTAAGAGTCCTTTCCGTCGTGTTGGATTCCACAAACACCTCTTACCTCCTTCATTGAATTCACGTGCAGTAGATCTTGTGTCATATCGGGCCTTCATCTTCTCCGTCGCCAAGTTGACTTCAAATAGGGCCTGGAAATCTTGGATGCATTCCTTAGGAGATGAAGGCGCATCCGGGGGGGTGACCAAGCAAAAGATCACAAGGCAGACGAACGTCACGACCGATGAGCATCTGCGATAGAGAATAACCGGTGGTCTAATGTTTCTCTTCGACCCTGGTATGATGTTGGTAACTTTCTGAGCAAGGTCTTTCAGACAAGCAGTCGGGTGTTTCCAGGTGAGTATCCCTTCCCATGATGGATAGTTGTGTCTTCTGATGCTAAAAGAAATTTGTTGTTCTTGAAATCCAAGGAAAAATTCTATTTCTTTAAAAAGTCCAATCCGAGTATGCATGGATCTGTGATATCCGCCACATAAGCCGTGTGATGGTAGGCGCGCACTTCCAAACGTGATGTTTACGTTTAAGTTCCCAGTTATGTCGATCTTATCACCAGACGCAGTCTGAAGGGTAACACAGGATGGCGTCCAAATAAGTTTATCTTTAAAGTGTTCAGCTAAATCTTCCCTAATGATGGTAACATTTAGCTCCTGTGTCAATGATCATATCGCAAGGAACTCCATTGATATTCCCATTAATGGACATTCCGTTACTGTTGCCACTCACTGTATAAATTTTAAGCGCTTTAAAACAAGGTTTTTCGTTATCTGGCAACCTCCGTTCCTCGATATGGTCACTAATTTGTTTACTGCGTCGTTGCTGGGAAATGGTCTTATTTTCCGTACCTCGAGATGTTCTGCAATTTCTTCGTATGTGGCCTTCAACTCCGCAGTTCCAGCATTTTAGAATTAGTTTCTTTTCACTCCTGTTCCGTCTCAAGCCACTAACTTGTCTGGTAAAATCATCTGCTTTATATTCCGTACCCTGGGGTGTTCTGCAATTCCGTCTTAGATGACCTTTACTACCACATCTCCAACACCTTAGAGCCACTTTCTTCTCACTCCTACTCCGTATCAAAGCGTCGACTTGTCTGGCTAAATCATCTAAACGAGCCATCAGTTGATCCACTGGCTCATGGACTCGCACAGCTCTAACTGGGTAGCGATCTCTACTAGTTGCTTGCTGGGCTGCCTCGAATTTCATGGCATACACTAAAGCGCTTTTCAGATCTTTAACATCCGCCATTCGCAGTGCTTTCTGTATTTCAGGGTCCCGGATGCCATCGATGAATATTGCAGGGACAGGATTTCCCTTGTTTCTGTCGGGCACTCCGAAAAGGCGTGATGTGACAGCCTTTCAAACATCCGTGGCGAGCTCCTGAAGCGTTTCGGTGAGCTTCTGTTGACGAGATTTTAATTGGAGCCTGCTGTCTTTTAAACCATTTCTCGCCGAAGCGCAGCTCCAAAGCGCCGGATAGAGCTTCGAAATCTAGCCTTTGATTTTCGGGAAGCGTCTGCAGGATCCGCTGCGTCTGCTCTCAGAGAAGCGGCGAGATGACAGGCCTTAGCTTGGGAATCCATCCATTCGCATCCGCAACGATAGAAAATTGTGTCCTATACACCTGCCAGGAGGTCTTCCCATCATATGTAGATAGTTTCAGAACGGAACGAGCAGGATCGATAAAAATTAAAACCTTCAGAATTGTTTCCTACCGTCGCTATGCACTTCTTTAGGCTTCAACTTCTTGGCGACGGCAGCAGAAACCCTATCATCAATTGTTGTTCGACGGCAGAAACTCTCTCTTCTATATGTTCTTTTACAGAAGAAATTCTTTCTTCTACTTGTTCTTTTACCGAAGAAACTCTTTCCTCTATTTGTCCAACTTTAGTTTTCAACCGTCTATTCTGCCTTCCATAGCCTCAAATTTATTTCTATTACGCAGGTAATTTCTCTTTTCATTTCGTCTGACCTGCTTTCATCTCGATTTAAGGGATTTCATCTCTTCCTTACGCATTCCTGGCCCATTTCATTTCTTCCTTAACGGATATTTGACCAGCATCCATTTTCTCTTTAATTTTTCTTTAAAATGTTTGGCCAGCTTTCCATCTTTCTTGGAAAGCAGCAAATGCGTCATCATTGCCTGAATTGTTCTTCCATCGCTCTTATTATTGCATTCAAACCCCACTCCTGACCAAAAATTGTTGCGTGCGTACGGGTTCGTTATGAAATGAATGCACAAGTCCGATGAAAAATGAACAAAAATTTATATTATCACAACAAAAAAAAAATGCTTAAATTTTCTCAATTATCATGCGTATTACAATATCTCACAGTAGTTTATCTTTTAACTACTCAAATTCTAATAGAACGAATTCAAAACACTAAAGAACGCTAATCCGCGAATTCACTACAATCAACAAGACAGTTTTTTCTAAACAACAACAAACTAAGCAACAACTACAAACTGAGATGTTTTTCCTCTTTTAAAGATTTTAAAATCACGAGCTAGAATTTTCCAGTACTTTCTCGAAATCAAAGAGATTTTATTATTAATGCACGCGCTTGTATTTTCAATTTTCCGCCTTAGCTTTCTTTTAATATTCGCACGCGCTGCACTGCGCGAGAAATAAAACAATTTATTTATAATTGACTAACATTGCTTTTTAAAACCAAATTCGTAACAATATGGACAAATGTAAAGAAAATAAGATTCCTTCCATCTGTTCCAGGAAGAAAATCTGCGTTAAGAATGGATATAAGAATAAAAAGGAAAACTTTAATCCAACCCCCACTACAGAATATGCTCTGACATTTTGAAGAAGAATATGGACAGCTTTATAAGCCCACCTTCAATTGGCGAATTTGGTGCCAAGGCACATGAAATACGTTGTTTTGAAAATGGTTGCCATCCGATTTTCGACGAAACTCCGTGTTTAAAAACTGGTAGCCATCTTGATTTCACAAAATCGTTGATAATAGAAAAAGTTTATGACTGTTATACACGGTTTAAGAGAAAGAAACATTAAGAAATGATTAATAAAAATGATTAAGGTTAAAAGATGTAATTTTAAAAACAAACCGAAACCTTAGCTATTTCACCTTTAATAAATAATTTGACGTCACAATATATTCCCATGCTACGCGTAATTTGTATTTTCTCTTTAAAAATAATGAATTGTTTATTATTGTAAATTAACATCAAATTCTTTAAATTTACATTTCTGAGCTTACGTACTGAAAATAAGTATAATAATTGTTTATTTTAAATTACATGATACATAAGCGAATTCTACCAGTTATTACAACGATAAAGAACTCGCAGTCTCTCTACTTGTATTTCATACAGCTTCCATATTTTCAAAGATTTTAAGCTTTAGCATTTTATACAAATAAAAAAAAGTTTTTTTAATTAATACTCTGGAACATATCAATTTTATCATATTTACAAATTAACGTTTTGCTACGTAACAACATAATCCCTTTTATACCAATAATGACAATTTTAATTATTTTCAAAAATTTTAAACTTCACTTGATAAAATAGGTCT